GGGGGGCACACGGGGGCTGGGGGGGGGGTTATAACTGAAAATGTGCATTCTGCTCTGCTGGAAAGTGATGAATTATAGGTGCTGGGTGCTGATGTGTATTCTACCAGTGGCTTGGGAAGTGCAAATGCTAAGATAAGTGGCTTATGCTGACAGCTCTTTGGTTCTGTTGGCATTTAAATGTTTATATTATATTCCCCTACATGTGTGCTTTAGGAGAATTCAATATGGCACAGGACACATAAGCCAATCCCGCCTAATCTGGGACCACATTTGTGGCACAAATGTACACAACGAGAACATACAAAAGAAGCATCACTCCTCCATGGCTCAGGAAAGGAATGAGCCCGCTGATTGCTGCTGGGAGCACGTGCTTACTCCATTATGAGCTTATACAAACAGAAGAAAAGCCAACCACACACCGGATTTTGCTGGAATAGTTTATTGAAACTTGTACCACATCACTGGTATCCCACTCAAGGTCCATCAGAATGGGTGGACCTTGGGCGGGACACCGGTGACATGGTACAAGTTTCAATAAACTATCTCAGTGGAATTTGGTGTGCAGCCAGCTTTTCTTCTTTTTGTATGGACTGTATGTACACAAATCATTGATTGTGCACAGTCCCAGAATTTCTTCTGAGTTAATGCAACATTTTTGCCATCTTTATTCATTTGAGCACTGAGTCTGCAGCAGACATCAACCTTTTCAGATCAAGTCCTTAAATGTTGGTTTAAATATGTTCTGGACTCCTAATTTAAGTTCTAACATTGCTTTTAATAACAAAATGAGGTGGTTTGTAAGACAATTGTTTGGTTCACAATTTGGATAATAATCAACTCTAATCTGTAGGAAGAAAGATTAATATAGCATTTTTTGAATGTGGTGCATAGTTTTTTATTGAGTATATATTTGTTGTATAGGGCTTAGTGTAAATAAATCAAGAAACTGTTTGTTCAATATTGTTTCTTTGCTTCAAGGATCTTCTTAGGAGCTGATCATAATATAAGACTCAATCAGGTGCAGAAGCGAATGTTATATTGTCTTTATTCACTTTTTTTCAGCTGAAGAAGCTTCCTCTTTCACAACAGTGTGGACCTTCGTAGTAGTAGTAGTAGTGGTTGTGCCCGTCCCTAGTAAAGCAAAAAACAATTATGGTTGCATATGGAAAAAAGAATTCTAATTAAAAATAAATTGGACTGCATTTAGACCTTTTCCTCCTCTAGACCAGCAACCTAGGCGCCATGGCCAAGCACAGGTTAATTTATTTCCCTTATTGCAAATTCCATCCTTCTCAGATGATCATGAAGACCTCCACCGAGGCACCGAATAATAGAGTGTTGCACATACAGTCACCAACCTAAGCTAGGTGCTGCCTAGCTGATACACTCGGCAGCCATTGCACCCTAGAGACCATGGCCTATGTGGCCCAATGAGAAGTTGAGAAATCCAGATCTGAGAATCTAAGGACACCTTATGTAGAAAAAAGCTACTTTTGTTGCAAGGGAACAAAGTTTTTTTCTTCCCAGGTAAAGGCCTTCTCAGGTATGATAAACTGAGGAGGAGGACTAACTACATGGGGTCTATTTGTTTTTATTTCCTAAACGCCAACAATGTGAGCTACTGGCTCAGCACACAAGATATTTGGCTTTTTTTCTAATGGGTTGAGAGAATGGAGTTTCCTGTCAAGTTAATACCAGCCTCATGCCCTTTTTCAGGGTGGTAGGATGCTTTGGGAGAGGCATTAAAAAGAAGGAATACTCTTTGCCACCTCGTGGTCAAAGACTTTTCAGAAAGCAGTGGATTTTTTTGAAAACCTTCTGCCCTTACCCGGTGTCCTGTTCTCAACGAGCTTGAAATCAGTGACTAATGGTACCATGGACATTTCTGCAGTTGATTTTGAAGGTTCTGCTTTGTTAGTACCTTCAATATTTAACAGGAACTTTTGTGGTTTAATCATAACCACAATGCACTCAATGTAAACAACACAACTTCCTACTGGCTTGCCTCCAGCCATGGTCATACAGTACTAGTCAGTATGCCTGGACTCTAGTTTGGGAGACGAAGCTGTTTAAAAATATAAAAAAAATTTAAGTACAGCTATGCTCCTGTAACATGACAAAATCCCACAATACTGAATCTGCAGTATGACATGTATTAATAATGTTTGATATGCCCCTTTTAGCATGCATTGTATGATGCAGCTTAATGAACGAAACCCATTGAATTTCTCATTCTCCTTTCATACTCATGTATACAGACTCGTTTCAGAAAAATGTAAAACTTTCAGTGACCTGATTTTCCAAGTAATAAATGATAGTTTTACTCTTACTGACAGCTGCCATAGCTGTGTCTAAAATGAAAAACCAGCCTGCAGCTACATTTCAGGATATCAGTTTTAGATTACTAATGTCAATTACCTTTACTCTCCTTATGAGAAGCTCCAGTGCTGTAGAAAAGAAACAGGACAGTTAGTGGTTGAATCTTTCAAACACATCTATTTTGTGTAATTAAGGAGTAAAAATACACACCTCAGTCCTCAGCCAGTAGTTATGCTTCCATTGAATCCATCATTTACAACAACCAGCCCAAGTATGACCACCCTTATGCTGGACATATATACAGCATATATACAGCAAGTTTTAGGTAGTTCAGCCACTGGCAACTAGCTTACAATTTAAAATAGAAAACAAATAAATCATAATAACCTGCCACCATCAGCCCAGCTAGACCAGGCCATGAACCCCAATTCTTCTACTCAGTGTCCCAGGTATCCTTTGCAATAAATATTGCCCTCATTTGAATTATGACATATATACATACCTTTGCTGAATTTTGTTTTTGAGATTTTTTTTCTACTTTGCGCTATTATTCTCATATCCTGTGAGAGATTCTCCCGTGGCCGTCGTTTTGGGCCGCGGGTCGGCTTCCCCACACAGCGGCGTGACGTCACGAGGAGACCGAGACGTCGGCCGGCGCTCTCGGCTCCTCCCCCAACAGGATCCTCCTCAAAATGACGAGACTTGCAGTAGCTCGGCGTTCTAGTGTTTTGCGAATGACTTGCCTGTTCTAAGTTGTAATTCATGCATAGAGACCTAGAGTGTGTATATTAACCACATAGTGTTGTTGCACCCCATTGAGTGCGGACTGCTAGGGAAAAGAGGGCTTCGCATAAATACCTCGTGGTGATTGCCATATCTGTGTGACCTAGTTATACTTGCACGAAGTATACATTGGCACCACTCTCATTCCCTGTGTTTGGCATATGATGTGATAGAGGGTTCCACCATCACTCCTACCCATACAGAGTGTAAAAGTGAACCCTCGACCTGAGCCAATCTAACACCAGGTGTGTGGCTAAAACCGCAGCTGCGATCCTACCACTCCCTTTGGGCTGACTGTTACATATCCCAACAAATGACTGGAATATTTTTAAAATGGACTTAATTTTTTGAACCAGGGCTATGTCAAACCAGCGTTCCTGTCACTGGTTGTAGACTTGTGTGCTGTCAAAAAATTTGTTCCGTTTCATTTCGTTCCGTTTCGGAATATCCGTTTCGTATTTCATAATTCGTGTCCGAAACTCAATTCGGATTCGTACGAAATACGAATTTTCGTTAGTTTCGGCACATTTTCGTAACTGTACGAACATTCGTTATGATGAAGTTAAAAAGCAAAAATACCTTTGGTAATATTGGATTCGATGCGGTAGTTTTTTTTTAATCCGGAATAAGAATTCCGTTAACGGATTCCGGATCCGAATTTTGTATTTCGGATTAAAAAAAAAACTACCATCAACTCCAATATAAATGTACTTTGCTTTTTAACTTCAATATAATGAATGTTCGTAACGGAACGAAATTCCATCAACGGAATTTCGTATTTCCTGCCTGTATTGTAATGCAACTTTCAGCAGCAAAAGAGAAAACCTCTAATTGGTCAACCAAACGAAATACGAATTCCGTTAACGGATTCCGGATCCGAATTTCGTATTTCGGATAAAAAAAAAACTACCATCAACTCCAATATAAATGTACTTTGCTTTTTAACTTCAATATAATGAATGTTCGTAACGGAACGAAATTCCATCAACGGAATTTCGTATTTCCTGCCTGTATTGTAATGCAACTCTCAGCAGCAGAAGAGAAAACCTCTGATTGGTCAACCAAAGTAAATACAAATTCCGTTAACGGATTACGGATCCGAATTTCTTTTTTCGGATAAAAAAAAAACTACCATCAACTCCAATATATTAACAAATGTACTTTGCTTGTTAACTTCAATATAACGAATGTTCGTAACGAAACGAAATTCCGTCAACGGAATTTCGTATTTCCTGCCTGTGTATTGTAATGCAACCCTCAGCAGCAGCAGATCCGTATTTCGGATTAAAAAAAAAATCTTGTCATGTTGTTCAACCTCATTTACAGGGGTAATATTAGTTCCTGTTTCAAAGAAATTCGGATCCGAAATTCATTAACGGAATTTCGTATTTCGGATATAATTCGGAAACTGCAATTCGGATTTCGGATGCTTCTGAATTTACGAATTTCAGGAAAATTCGTACGAATTTCGATTCGTAACGAAACGAATCGCACATGTCTAACTGGTGGCATTGGCAACACACCAGCAACAGGATCCCTATGCTAAACAGGGTTCAGAGATAGACCTCCTGTTTCCTGGAATTGCTCCCTCACTGGTTGGGTGAGCGAGGCGCCACTCCCTCACTGGTGGCTTCCATTTGTGCCATTTCCATCAGCAAGGGAGCATCGCCATGCTTATTCGGCCAGCGAGGGAGTGAGACATAAATAAGCTTAATTGCAGCATGTCACTGGAACATGTCATGATCCCCTTCTCCATTTTGACCTGTTTACAACATACAGCAATATAACTGACATATTAGAGTGGATATCTTTAGGCTTTCTTGTGTTTACCTCTGATCATGCTCATCCAGCAGTTTACGGTATGTGGTAATCTCGGCCTCCAGGTGAGCCTTGATATCGAGCAGTGTTCTGTACGCCACATTCTGGTGCTCCAGTTCAGATCGCAAGTTGCTCAGCTGTTCCTCAAGGGTGCCAATGACAGACTGGATATGGTTAAGCTGAGCAGCATATCGGCCCTCAGTTTCAGAGATAGAAGCCTCCAGTCCTGCTCTCTGAAGGAAGAAATTGAGATAAGGAATTGTTGACCAAAATGTATTTTGCATCTGTTTGGTATCTGGTCATATTTAACTTCTTTTGGATGTTTACTCTTAATTATTCAGGTTCTTATCATTATAGTCACCACTACTTCATCCATTGTCTTTTGCAAATATAGTTGAAGCGAAAAAAAGGTAGCTAACCTTCTGCCTTACATTCGCCCTAGGCTGCTCACTGGAGTTCAGCTTTAATATAAGGCCAAAGACCGGTGCCTCCGAACAGATGCTTGGTGCATTCTGCATTAAATGTATTTTTGTGGAAGCAGTAAGAGTGAAGGCTTATTATGGGAAGTCTGGGTCCAGAATTTGTACTGGGGTCCTTTGTTCTTAAGCTACAACATGCTTACAACTGTGTGGTAGTAAATTGTTTGTTAAACTCTCTTTTAAAACGACAGAAAGAGGGTCTGTCAGTGCTGTCAGAACATAGTATATTTGCAAAAGGAAGACTCTGGGTGCAGTTTGTTTCAGGCATAATTATTCTAGTGGGGTTAGTGGTCCCAGAGATTGTGTTCTCAAACGAACTGAAATGACACAGTGTTTGATTTGTAGGTGGCACTTTATGTCAAGAATCTGAGGAATTGTGAATATCTGGAGAGCTAGGCAACTTTAGATTTTTAGTAAAAAAAAACACTTTATCATGTAGATACTTACAAATCCTCAAACTTAACAAAGTCTGATTTCTTCATATGGACTCACCATGCTGTGCTGTGACTGCAGCTCAATCTCCAAGCCCTGCATGGTACGTCTCAAATCTGTGATCTCTGTTTTGCTGGATTGGGCTTGTTGTGTGTTGGAGACAACCTCCTTCTGCAGAGATTCACTCTATTAATGGAAAGACAAGATACAGTTACATTCTTAAAAAAAGAGGACGAGGAAGCTATATAACTTGATGGAGCCATACCTGGGCTACAAACCATGCCTCTGCATCCCTCCTGTTCTTGTCGGCGATGTATTCATACTGCTCTCTCATATCACCCAAGGTCTTGCATAGGTCAGTTCCTGGAGCTGCATCCATCTCCACGTTCACTGTTCCACTCATCTGCTTGCCCCTGTCACTCATTTCCTGAACAAAGGAGAAACACATACATAAGACTGGAAGTTTCTGTTGGAATTTCGTCTTTAGGAACAATTTAAAAATAATTGATTTAGTTAACTTGTGTAGATTCCATAAACTGATTTACCATCTTGACATCTCAATACCATATACAAAAATAAACTTTTGTGAATTTGAAAACCTTTTCCAGCTGTTACCGTTACCATTGGTACCATTGAACACAAAGACAAACACATTCAATTGGAGTCCGAGGTGGGCCCCCAAGGTATGGATTCACACCTCTAGCTGCTACGCCAGATATTTGACTTCTATTCACAAAACCCAAAAATCCTCACCTCCTCATGATTCTTCTTGAGATAGGCCAACTCTTCCTTCAGGTTCTCGATCTGCAACTCCAGGTCTGATCTGGCGAGTGTTAGTTCATCCAATACCCTTCTCAAACCCTGGATATCTGATTCAACTCCCATTCGCATGTGTAGTTCATTCTCATACCTGTGAAGGCAGCAAGATTTTGGCTTAGTACATTAACAAAAATCTGATGTGCAGGAATAGGCAACTAATGTTACAATTTAATTTACCATAATAAATACTTATAGGTAGATGAAAAAAATGAATGAAAAAGCTGTCATCCCTGTTTCTTGAAAGTCAACATATTCTGCCCAGTTAAAGTATATCTAAAGCCCAAACCTTTTCTTTATTTTGACTAGAGTAGGGGAGGTTTGTGTCTTATTAGGCACATTTTTCTTTGCTTTCTGTCCTGTAGCCTCAACAGGAAGTGAAGGGGTTTCTTTTACAATGTGAGAGAAATCCCAGCGTAGACAGTTGTCACTAGTAACAAGTGTCTACATTGGCAGGTTCCCTCTCTATTGATGTTCTGGTGACAACATAATTTTTTTTGTATTTACCCTTACTTTTATTCCCAGTGACAATGGTGATCAGGGCAATAAGTGTGTGAATCCCCCTAACAGAGACAACAAGAAAAACTTGACAGTGGTTAAAACCACTCACCACTTCAAATCTGCAAATATCCAAAATCTGAAAAAAAGTCTAGCCTTTAGTTAATTATATGTTAAAACATTTATCTTCTCTATAAACACTATAACCAACACTTTACACATTATTATAATACTATAAGGCTTCCAAATGCTTGCCATACTGTTATTGTCTATTTTAAACCCTTTTTGTATCATTTCACATACATAGGATTGCATTTTGAGAAATCATGTATAACAACACAAAGATTGACGTTTGATGCTAGCAATCAGTCAATATCCATGTGCTTTTTTTTGGAGATTAGATTTTTTTTTTTGTAGTTCAAAGTGATGAATTTGAAAATAGTATTTACTCAGTAGTTATACTCATTTATATATAGCGCTGGGAATTTATGCAACACTTTACATTCTGTACATCAGTCCCAGCATCATTTTCTTTTCTGTATCATACACATATATTTAGTGTTAAGCAGGGGTTTAATTAATTAATTTGCAATCCAGGAGACAGTCTGTCCAATCCAGGAGCTAAGAGGAGTTTTTAGGAGCCAGCTCCATTGACGACAACTAGAGAAAACCTCAAACGTTAGGCACCAGCTGTGATTTTTAAGGAGTATTGACGACCTGGCTCGTGGAATTTTTCCAGTCCTGGTGTAAAGTAGAATGTACATTCAACATGTGCAGTTTTGGAGGTTTTATCAAGGTGTTTGCCTTAAAATTATTTTCATGACTTTCTATAAGCCTGCTCCTCCTTGTTTTTGTACTAGGGGTTTGTTTGCCTCTTTAGGTAGCTCTTAATAGCTCATTGCAAACTTTCTCTTTCTCTCTCAACAGCTCTTGAGATAAGACATCAGCCACACAAGGAGTGCATTGTTACCAATGTGTCAGCCAACTGTAAGACTTGCGATATTATAAAGAACACTAAAGAGCAACAACTGAGTAGCAGAGCAAAGCAGAAATCAATGCCTGAGTATGTAATGAGTAAATATGGCTTTAAATGTAGAGGTAATATGTACATACAGTAAATTTTAAAACATTACAAGGTAATAACAAGATGATTTACATCAACCTATAAATAAGTAAAAAGTGTATACATTCCCTTGAAGAAAATTAACATGAACTTACTTGAGTTTAAAATCATCTGCAGCCAAGCGAGCATTATCAATTGCCAACGTAATTTGATGGTTATCATTTGTAGCAGCAAGGATCTGAAATAAGAATGACATCTTTAAGATCTACATGTTTTCTTATGGCACTTACAGGGGACAAAGGGCTTCTTAAATATAAGTCAGGACAAAATAAAAAAAATGTCAATACATGCACACTTCAGCCTGTTGTGTCCCTTTAAAAATGCTGCAAGTACTGATCTTCCAGATGATAACACATTGCCTTTTATAGACTGAAATTCTAATCGCTGTTGTCAGCTGTTCCTGCTGGACTACAGAACTCTGCCTAACCCCCACCCCTTACTGTCTCACATTGATTTATTTTCCAGCAAAATAGCTGTGATACCTTGACTCCTGGAAAAGGGTTCTTGGGAGATGTAGTTCTTGGGGATAAGCAATATGCATACTTCAACAGGTAGTGAGCTCCCCGCAGCTACCCCTGAAAACATTTTACAAGCCTGGTGATGATCTCACGGAGAGGAATAAAAGCTGTTTATAAATAATCCTGGGTCATGTTCTAGAGGGAGAGAGATATCTGGGGGTAAATTTTGCGAATGCCTGGACATACACTTTAAGGCAAACTCTTCTCTTTACCCAGCCACAAGGGAGCCAAGCCCTTTCTGAGATATTTCAGGATATTTCTAAACCAACAAGTAAAGATACAGGTGTTGCCTCTAGGGGAATCCTTCAAGGTGGCATCAGTGAAAGATGCCAGAGAATCTCAACATTGTCCTATTCATTGTTATATAGTTACCTACAGCTGTAAATTTTAAAAGCAGCAGTGACATACAGTAGTTCATTGGGTCTAAACTGATGGACTGATCTCCATCAAGCTCAACCTCTGACAATTGCTACAGTTTTGGTCCAAAGAACGGCAAAGCAAACCACCCACTCGCAGCCATCTTGCCAGTTATGCCACAAGACAATATCAAATGTTCAACTTGTTTCAGACGCTC